TTTTTTTTTTTTAAGATTTATTTATTTGTGCATACAGAACTGGGGTGCAGGCCAGAGGCTCAGGGGCGGTGAGAGGCTTCACCAGAGACAGAGTGAGGAACAGAACAGGCAGAAGTACACTGCTGAGGGGAGCAGCGGGCGGGCGGGTCAGGAGAGGTCTGCCAAGCCATGAGGATCACCTCTGGGGAGGGGATTGAACTCATGCAAAAGCAGCTTTAGCTTCTCAGTGCTGTGGTTTAACCTGCTGCACCAGGGAGGGCCAGAATTTCCATATCTTTAAGCAACATACTCAGTATCAGGAAAATGAAATTCCTAAATTTGTAAATTCACTGTTATTCCTATCAAAATTTCAATAGGACCCTGACATACATATGAAAGAATGGAGGGCCAAGGAATAGTCAGGTTAATTCTAAAGAAGGTCAAAATGGATTGAGACTCATCAGGTAGCATAATGATGAAACACTATAGTGCTAGTTCAGAGACAGACAAATAGACTAATGAAATTAATAAAAAGACCTAAGAATAAATCCAAATTTATTTTATGTTAGCTCCATAGTGAAAGAGGAAGAACAGAGAGTTTAAAATATTTTACTAGAGAAATTACACTATCTATATTGAAAAAAGGTAAATTAGCTCTTTATCTCCTACATCGGTATGCACGATGGGATTAAAAAAACCTAAATGCAAAAGGCAACTAAAAACACTAAACTCTAGGAATTGTAAATACAGAAATAACATACTCTCTTATTTTATTTCAGTGTATGCCAGCCTAAATTTTGGCAGTAAGACACAGCAAACATTTGGTAATCAAACGGAACGAACTTCATCATACTCCGGTTCAAATCCAAATCCAGGATCCTTCATCCTTCCATCTTATCCTCTCTCATCACCTCGAACGAGTCCAAAGCACACATCTCTTACTGTATCTCCAAAGAAGACTCAAGATAATTCTGCTAATTTCTCAAATTCCTGGCCTCTTAAAAACTTTGAAGGACTATCAAAGCCAAGTCCACAGAAAAAGTTGCTCAGCCAAAAAGCATCTGACATTACAGGTAGAAAAGATACATAAAATTAATACTTTGTTCAATTTTATATATTTTGAATTATATTTTGAATTATTATGTTGAAGTTAGAACTGTTAGATCTTTTAAAACTAATAAGCTGCCTTTTGTTTTTCTAAATTAGTAAATGTCTAGGAAAAAATTTAATAATATGTTAAATAGGTAAAGTATGTAACATTCAATTAAAGTAGTCATTTCTCATATTGCCACTTTAAAACTCTTTTTTAAAGCTAGGCATCAAAATTGCATTACAATGGATATGAACAGTCTCAAGGCCTTCTAATTTTAGTGTTACAAATATAAAATATAATTAATATATTTAATGTTTCGTTTAGTCAACATTTATTGAATGCTTATTATAAGTTAAAATTAGTTTGAAACATATTCTATTGTTAAGTAAAATATGTTTTTTTTAACAACAGTCCTCTCCAAAATCATGAGGTAAGTATATAAGATTTATTCAGGATAGATCCAGTCAAAATAAATATTAAAGGCTACTCTACATATCTATATCTTTCTTATGCCCAGCCTCTAAGAGATGTTCTCCTTTAAACTACCCCATAGTAACTACTGTTCCAATTTATAATCATAATTAGCTAAATTTATTACACAACTTTAACACTTTGATAGTATTGAACCTTCATTCTTTTATTAATTTCTTTCTGAATGTCTTTCCTACAAGATCAGATATGTTTTAAAAGCTGAAACTGTGTTCTCCCCATACCAGTATTACTGCTTTGCTTTCCAGATAGTCATTCAAATGTTGCTTACATAATTAAACTAAGCTAGAAAGTGGCCCTTCTAACCTATGATGAACTTTATCATATGAAGATTAATCATTCAAAGGTTAATCATGATTATGTATATGAAGATAGAAATTGCAGTTGGTATAATACTTTTATTTAATATGAAAGAATTTCTATTGACTCATTTTTGTTATATTAGAGTACTTTTTTTTTTTTAAGATTTATTTATGCATACAGAACTGGGGTACAGGCCAGAGGTGCAGGGTGGTGAGTGGATTCACCAGAGTTAGTGGGGTGCAGAACAGGCTGACTGAGAAAGTACACTGCTGAGGGGAGCAGCAGGCTGGTCAGGAGAGGTCTGCAGTGCCATGTGGTCACCTCCAGGATGGGTGGGAATGAACTCATGCTGAAGTGGCTTTAGCTTCTTAGTGCTGTGCTTTAACCTGCTGAGCTACCAGGGAGGGCCCTGTTAGAGTACTTTTGTTTTTTTCCTTTAGTAATTTTATCCTGATAAAAAAATACTTATATATACACATTTTTAAAATACTGTATTCCAAGCACTTGTGTTTATAATTTCCTCTTTGAAGTTAAGAAAAAAAAAAAAAGTAAAATACATATTTTTCACACAGGAGAAAATTCTCAAGAAAAACCTGCAGTTCAGCTTACACCTGCCCTGGTGAGATCACCATCTTCTCGGCGAGGCCTAAATGGGACCAAACCTGTCCCTCCAATACCAAGAGGAATCAGTCTTTTGCCTGATAAAGCTGACTTAAGCACAGTGGGACCCAAAAAAAAAGAGCCTGATGACATTTGGAAGAGTGAAAAAGATAATTTTACAATTGATCTTTCAGAATTAAATATCAGGGATAAAGATTTGGATCAAGAAGAAGTTAGTATCAGATAACATTTGTAAATGCTTGTAACTTTCTATATTATAATGTTATTTAAGAGAAATCAAGTTTTTTTTTTTTTAAATCTCAGCATGTTTTCTTATTTATAAAAATGTTTCATGTTCATTATAAAATGTATAATGAAGTGAAGTGTTAGGAAGAAAATTCATTATAGCAAGTGCCACTACCCAAAATAATTTAACATGTCTCCTCACAGTATTTCTTCTCTGCATTTATTATTCCTTTCTGAATTAAAAGTTAATATAATATAGCAATACACCTATGAACTAATCCTTCACAAATGTGTAATGTCATCTTTGTTTCCTATTTTTTTTAAATAAATGAAACAACACAGTTCATTCCCCAATCCAGTTGCTCTCCCTTCTTCACCAGAGGGAATCATTATCACCATTATTTTGTATTTTACATTTCTTTGTACTTTTTATAGTTAAGACTTATATACTGTTTCCACGGATGATTTTTCTTTTACATTAAATATGTAAACTGAAATACTCATAATATTTTATGATCTTTTTTTAGCCTGTTATAAAATATAAGCATTAGGTGCTGATAATGCAAATTCATTTTTAAGCATTTCTGAAACATTAAGCATACATAAAATTAACCTATAAAATGTTACCTATAAAATAACCTGTAAATTCATTCTTAATGATTTCACTATTCCAACTTCTACTTTAAAATCTTTTCCTTGACTTTTTTTTAAATTGTATTTAGTGGTACTAAGAAGGTAATTCGCCTAAAGAAATTTTTAGAGGAGACATTTTCCTATATAATTTACAAATTTTATCTGATCATACTTATTTTTGCATTGTTTTTATAACTTAAAAATAGCCCCTTTTCATTTAGTTAATAACTTTCTTATTTGTAATTATTAGTAAAGATAGGAAGATACTACTGGGTTTAGATCATCAACCTTCCAAGAATTTACTGGGGAACTGACTATATATAAACTATTATATAATTTTTATTAAGAAAATATAAGCAAAATAGTTTGTCTATTTCTTTATTACTTAGTTCATTAAAGGTTTTATTCCCAACCTTAAGCTACTAGTTTATAGTAATAACTTTCAATCTGCATTTTCAGCAATACATGCCTTCCAAAGTTACATTCAGTGATCTGAACTTTACCATTGGCAAGTATGAGTTTAGAAACTGATGACATTTTGTTGACCTTCTTATAAAACTTCTAGATAACCTCATCATCACACCAGTGATGTAAGATTAGCTAAGCCTCTGTGATTTGAACTTTTCTTATATCTCATTCAGTGATTAGTTTATTAATTCACAATGCAGAGTACTAACCACTATACAATCATGGCTAGTTTATTAATTCAGTTATTACAATGACCTTGTCATTGTGCTCAGTCCTGGAACTATTGTGGTAAATAATTACTGGATGTAATTTATAACCTAATAGGTTGTTTATAAAAATCTGAGTGATGATATTGTGTGTTAATTAATGAAGTTTAAAATTTAAGGATAATTTGTACTGATATAATTTTCTTATGTAGTTAACTTTTTATTTTTTCTTAGATGCAGAGTTCTCTGAGGTCACTTCGTAACAGTGCAGCTAAGAAAAGAGCAAAACTGAGTGGCAGTACTTCTGATCTTGAAAGCCCTGATTCTGCAATTAAGCTTGACTTGACCATGGACTCTCCATCTCGATCTTCCTCTCCAAACATCAGCTCTTACAGTGAAAGTGGTGTTTACAGTCAAGAATCGCTGACTTCTTCTCTATCTACAACTCCCCAGGGGAAGAGAATAATGTATTCTATTTTTTGATATGTTAAATGAATGCTAATCTATAAGTTATAATTTAAAGCCTTAGTTTCACGTTTGAAAAAAATGTTTAATGTATTTTCTAGTTTTTAAAATGTTGAGCTTTATTTAAATAACAATGGATATGTTTGCTTAGCTTTCATTTTGGTTGGAGGTACAGCGAATGAACACAACTTCAGCTGTTACCTAGAGCACTTAAATTAATGTAAACCCTTTTCCCAAAACCCCAGTTGTTCTTTTGCTTATCTATAATTTATCCTGCTATTATTGTTCTTTACCTCTTTTCTGAATCATTAAATCATTTGCCATTTGATCTATAACTGATACTATTGCCTTCATTTAAAACTCAGCACCAGTTTTCTCTAATTGATGAGTAAACTCCACGAAGCTGCATTCCCAAATATTTCTTCTATCTTATAAGCTTTTCTGTTATCTTATAAGCTTATATATGATTATAAACTTAAAATACTCTATACTATAGCTTTCACAGACGTCCCAGGGTCTCCTTAACTGCTGTAGTGCTAGAGTTAGTCCTGGCCACCCCACACTGACAGAAGTCAGTACCATTCCAACAGATTGCCTCAATAATTTCTGATTCTTAAACAGTGAACTCATCTTGATTTCCAGGAATCTCTGTGACCCTATTCTAGTAATTCAGGGGCATTCTTTTCGCTTTTTATCTTAGACAAAAACCTAACAGTAAAATTGCTAGGTCATGAGCTAAATGACTACTAAATATTTCTCAGAGTAGTTGTGCAGTTTTCTACCCCCAACAGTATATAAGAGTTCTAGTTGTTTCACATCCTTGCTAACATTTGGTGTGGTCTTCTTATTTTATTTTATTTTATTTTATTTTCCTTTGATATCCTAAGCCATGTTTTTATATAACTATTAGCAGTAAATATTTTTAATTATTTTCATTTAGGTGAATTCAAACCTCTAATAATATAAATAGAGACTGCATAATCAGAAGAGAAGTGGCATCCTGTTAATTCAGTGAACAAAGGGATTTTGTTTTAGCAGTTCATGAAATTAAACTGCAATTTTTCATCCTACTGAGAGAGGTTTCTCTCTTCCAAGGATTTCCTCCTCCACAGTTTATATTTAAATTGCAGCTTATTTTTAAGCTAGAAATTTTTTCTTAATGGAAATTCCTTTGTTGTAATCACCTAGCTAGAATATTGCATTATATTTGTAAAATTAATTTTGGAATAGCTTTATGGGCTCATGAAGTAACTGTGTTTACATTAAGTTACCAGACACTTAAAAAATATGTTTATCTTTTAGATTTAAAGTTCATTCCTGTCTTCTATTGATTTGAAATTTTATATAACCCAATAGTTCAAGTTCCTATAAGTAATCTGTAATCCAGTTGGGGAGAAAGATTCATTTTATATTATAACATTTAGAATTCACTATTCCCTTTACTATCTTACATTGTTAATCTCTTCAGATAATGGACTCATTGAGAATGGAGTTCAGTATATCTTATTTATAAACCAGATTACTGTTAATTAATTTAGTATTCCACATTTAAGCTTAATAGCTTTACAGCAATTATTGTTTTCAACTTGTATCCTGCAATAAGAACCATGGCCAAAGAAAGCCACTGCTACTTCAGGTGGCTTCCTTAAGTGTGTCGAAAAGGAAAAAATTGTAAGCCACTCTTACAGGGACTGAAGTATTTTCTTTGTTTGTATAAATATAAATGGATAGTAATCTATTCTAGAGAAATTACTCTTTTAAAATATTTAATACCAGTTTTTCACTAGGCCCATTAATATGCCTACCCACCTACTCAAATTGTACTTTTTTTTTCAAATTGTACTTTTTTTAAGGTCTTTTCTTTGTAAACTCATTACTGACTTAGTGATACTATAATACCTAATGATTTAAAGCAGTTTCTTACATTTGGATTTAACATTCTTTTAGTTTGCTTTCTTTGTGAGGCAAACCAATAGTCTCTATAAGTATAGCAGAGGCCTCCCTGGTGTTCTAGGCATTAAGTCTCAGTTCTGTCTCCACAAAGATCTGAGCTCAATCTTGACCAGGAGCTACTCCCCACATGGGATGGCAGACCTCTCCTGTCTTGCCCATTGCTCCCCTCAGCAATAGTCATTGCTCCTGGTCTGTTTCCCATTCTGTTTCTGGTGAATCCGCTCACCCCTTGCATTTCTCACCTACACCTAGTTCTTTTCACACAAAAATAAATAAATCTCCAAAAAGAAAATAAAAAATAAAGGAAAGTACTGTAAAAAAAATAGAAAATGTCCAAGAAGAAAGTGGGATTAGGATTTGCTCAACTCTATAACTGATCTTTTATTTATACTATAGTTGTTATTTTTATATTATCATACATGGAAGTGATATATCAGAGAACTAGGAGTCATTTGGCTTAGAGATATATATTTTCAGAGATTTATTTACTTATGCATATAAGGCCTGGGGTGCAGGGGGTGAGAGGATTTGCCAGAGACAGAGTGGGGAGCAGAACAGGCAGATCTGCTGAAACACACTGCTGAGGGGAGCAGCAGCCAAGACAGGCGAAGTCTGCTCTGCCATGTGGGTCAGTCAGCTTCCTGGTCTGGAATCAAAGTCATGCTGCAGTGGCTGATAGCCTCATGATGCTGTGCTCTAACCTATACCACCAGGGAAGACCCTGGTTTAGTTTTAGATCATTTTAATTCATTCCCTTTATTTTTTTTGGCTTAACCAAAGATGATGCAGTACAAGTTTAGGAGTCTCCAATTCTTTTGGCAGTCTTCTCATGACTATATAAGAATTTACTATAGATTAAACAGGATTCAAATTCAAAAAGTGAACTATAGAATAACTGTAGTTATTCTTAGCTATTGTTTTTCATTGCTTTGTTATGTAAGTTTAGTGAGTTATTAAAGTGTAGAGAATTCTGGTATGAATGTTGAAAAACTCTTGATCTTAAATGTTCATTAAAATTACTTTGTTTCATTGTAGGTCTGACATATTTCCGACATTTGGATCAAAACCTTGTCCAACAAGACTTTCTTCTGCAAAGAATAAAAACACTCAGATAACTGACCAAAGTGCCAGTGCAGGTATTCTATGACTTTTTTAAACATAATTTATAGAAAGTAATAATTACAATTAAAATTGATAGTGAATACATTTCAGATTAGTAGTTACCAATTAAGACTAATCTTTTTAGTTCTTAAAGGAAAAACACCTTTTCCTGAAAATTAATACTTCCTTAAGCCTCTGGGTATACCGATAGCCTATGGCTCCCTCACCCATATATTTTCATTTATATGAAATTTGACCTGGCTATCAAAGTTTGGAGCTCTCTCCAGGTGATTCTAATGTGTAACATAATTTAAAACCCACTGAATATCACAAAAACTATTTTTAAAAAAATTATGTAGATAGTAAAGTTCACATTAATCTTGTGTTAACAATTTGTGAACTAATCTGTAAAATCTCTATAATATCACTTTTTAAAAAAATTTAGTTATTAGTAATAAACTGGAAAAATAATTGGATATTTAGGATGGGAACTGCATTGATTCTTTATGATTTAATAAACTGTATTAAATAATGAATTATAACATTCAGGTCTGATTTATTTTCACATGTTCTCAATATAAAATTCTAACAGTTTCTAAGGCCACTTTATATCATCATTACCTTCCAAAATATGTTGTGTCTCTTAATGTTTGATATGAATTTTAATTTCTAAGTATGTCTTGATTTTTAGTTTGCTTTTTTTTAAAGATTTATTCATTTATGCATACAGAACTGGGGTACAGGCCAGAGATGCAAGGGTGGTGAGAAGCTTCACCAGAAACAGAGTGGGGAGCAGAATTGGCAGACTGACAAAGTACACTGGTGAGGGGAGCAGCAGGCAGGTCAGGAGATGTCTGCCGTGCCATGTGGATCATCAGGGCGGCGATCAAATTCATGCTGAAGTGGCCTTAGCTTCTCAATGCTGTGCTTTAACCCACCACCAGGGAGGGCCCTTTGGTCTGCTTTTAAGCCTTCCGTTACTCTTCCTCATTGCTTACCTATTTAACTTCCTGAGATTTCTATCAAGATTCAGGCTCCTTCTCTGACAATCCATTCCTCACATAAATCTTACTATATTACCCAGCCAGATTTTATTTGGGGCATTCCTCTGTCATTGGCTCCTGCCTCCTTGTCTAGCCTCATTTTTCACTTCCCTCTTTTTATCTTTGTATTTGTTTGTACTTGTGCATTCTGTTAGTATTCATGATGTCTAGAAACATCTATTCTATTCAGTTGTGAAAACTGCTCAGTTGCTTTCTCTGGGAAAACTTCTTCAGTTCACAAATAGAATTGATTATTACATTTTTTGTGATATCATGATATTTTACACTGATACCTTTTATTAGTAGTATGATTACTTTTCTTTTCTTGATTCTTGATCTCCATGAAATACTTCTTTCTGATTATCTACCAAATGACTGTCATAGTTATGAATGCCCAGCTAGCTTAACCATGTATATCTAGTATTCTGCCCTCCACAAAACCAATGCTCAACAAAATGATAGCTACTCTGCTAGGCATGGGAAGACAGTATTTGTGCTTTACAGTCTGAATTCCTGCTAGAATCACAATATAATATTTAATAACCATATTCATAAGCTTGACTTCCCCATCTGATAATGTAAATTTTGAGAAGGGCAGTAAAAATTTAAGTATATTACATATATAAAGCATCTAGTGTATAGTGGGTACTTGGTTTATTTAAAAGGGAAAACACAAAGAAATATTATACATAAACTATTCCTTAACACATTTTTAAGGCTGATCATCATAACAAGTTATGATGGCACAACAGGTTAAAGCACAGCAACATGAAGCTGGTCACAGCCACTTCAGCATGAGATTGATTCCCAGCCAGGGAAGTGACTCACATGGTGTAGCAGACCTCTCCTGTCTTTCCTGCTGCTGCCCTCAGCAGTGTATTTCAGTCAACTTGCCTATTCTGTTCCTCTATCTCAGGTGAATCCTCTAATCCACCACACCTCTAGCGTATACCCTAGTTCTGTATGTGTAAATAAATAAATCTTAAACAAAAAACAAGTTATAACTTGCTAAATATTTATGTAAAGACACATTATTGTTAGGTTGTATCTATCATTTTATAAGAAAGGAGCCCTCTTTGAAAGAATGTCTTTGCATTTAGCAAATAATGGTTTTAGAAAACATACATTTGAGTTTCCCTTTGTTCATAGTTGTATGACTTTGTGTTTTTAGTAGTGGTTGGTCTTATAGTGGTATATATATATTTTTATATGCTGTATTCAGTATTTTCCAAACTTGTCTACTATTCAGTATTTTTCAAACATGCCTAATCCTAGGACTCACCTGGGATACGAAGAACAAAAGTCAAAGCCTCACCACATACCTGGTGAATAGATCTTCAAGTTAAATACTTTTAACAAGTAACTTAGTTATATTTCTGTGATCAGACTTTAGAAACCATAATTGAATTAACTATAAGATATTCTTGGTTAGGACCCTCCCTGATGGCTCAGTGGGTTAGGGTGCAGCACTGCAAGCTGGCCGCAGCCATTTCAGTGTGAGTTCTATCCCTGACTGGGAGGTGATCCACATGGTAGGGCAGACCCCTCCTGACCCGCCCACTGCTCCCCTCAGCAGTGTACTTAGTCGATCTGCCTATTCTACTCCCCATTCTATCTCTGGTGAATCCCCCCACTGCCCCTG